CCCCAAACCCCCAAAACCCCAAAACCCCAAAACCCCATAAGTGGAGCGTATGGTTGATAATAGAAAAATATGTGGACAATACCAAGAAAAATGGCACTGAAGAAGTTCTGAATTAAGGATACACAAGATAGAGAGAGTCAGCAGGTGTGTGAAGTTTGGGTCTGGGTTTATTTTATTAACTGTTTGCTTCTATTATTAAATTAATTTCCCTAAGTCAAAAGATATCTAAGATTAGCATCTCCTTGATCTCCACCAAGCGTACAAAATCGTGGAAAATTATGTTCATTTTATTAGAATTTTTCATATATTTTGTTAAGTTAAAGAAACATTCAAACAATTTAAAATATTTGTGATCTGTAAAGTCTCTAGTCATCTCACCAAGATATGTGAGATAACACTCACTTCAGTTCTCAATATTTTCCATCTTAAATAATTAAGTATTGAATTAAAAAAAATTAATGCTTTTTCTAAGAATAAGTGATGTTTATTACGAGTTTTAAGGTCTAAATTTATTCTAGATTCGAATAAAGAGAACCCTCAAGCAGAGAATCTTGGCACTAAATAAGACAACAGTACATTTCCAAAAGAAGGATCATGATTATAGAAGCGCTCATTTAAAGTAAGTATTATAAGACAAATTTCAACCATTTCAAAACCTGACACACGCAAAGGCTAACATTTCAATAGGAAAAGAGTGTTTTCGTTCAGCCCTTCATCTTACTCTCATAAAAACAAATTACATAAGACACAGACAAGGATGCTTAAAGACAAGAACCATGGGACTCCTCATAGAAGAATATGATCTCCGGTTCCCCAAAGAATTCATAAGCTAAAAGTTCATCCTCTTGAAGCCAAGAAGAAACCAACCAATTTGAAGATATGTAGGAAAATGAGGAAGACGCCTCTAGAGAATCTAAAGGCAAGGATACGATCGTTATCTCCTGATATTAATAAAGTTGTCCAGTCAGCACTAAGCCACTCTAATAAGCGAAGCAAAAGAGATAAGAAGAGTAAGAAGAAGTTTAAGGGCAAGGATTGTAGGAAAGGGATATCAACAGGATTGATCCCAATAGAAGAAAACATGAAGAAGGTCTTTGGATATGTCTCTAACAAATTTGAAACCCTCCATTCTAAGATCACTGATTTGAAATCAAGCCCTGGTCTTTGACAGTCTTCTTATATCTTAAACCAAAAGTTGATGAAACTTCAATCTAGTAAAGAAAAGTAAGTATCCATTATTATTAATAATAGAATTTCGACGGAGGACCAAGTTCTCAGAGTTCACAGTAACAACTTCATGAATTAGGCTAGCTGTAAAAAATTACCTTCATCACTCGAGAGCCTTCTGTTAACTAATTCATTGATAAAAAATTGGGAAGCAACATATCTTTGAGTATTTTTACTGATTCTTTAACCGAGAAATTTTGAAGACTTCACATGAAATTTTCAAACATGAAATATCTAATAGTACAGAGCAGACGAGAGAAGCTGGGTAAGATGCCCATACTTGCTTTTGTCTAGTCTTCGAAGCTCTCCCATTTCCAGGTTTTATGTATAAAAAGTTCTATAGTGCTAGTTAAACTTCCGAAATCGAGGCCACCAGATTACATTGTTTATAATAATTCATAAAATAATTTCAGTGAATTAATACTTCCTCTCGCTAGAAGAATCTTAAACTATAAACAAGTCAAGCCATAAAGAGGTCTTCTAGGTTTCATTGGTTTTAATGGAATAAAGTCAGGATTTTATGTGAAAAAACTCGTTTGTTTGTTTTCAGTTCTATAGAGACTTACTTCTTGATCTACATGTCAAGAGTCTTCAGGGGAAGGATTATGGATGAGATAAATGGTTTCATTTAAGAAGTTGTTCATCTCAGTTTATTTAGAAATAGATAGCCCTCTAAGTTTAAAAGTGTGCAAAATTTTAGAAAACTCGAAGAAAATCTTGGTGATATAGTTTTAATTTTGTACCCATAATTATGATGGTTGCTTATTTTAAGAGAAGAATATGTCCTGAACTTATCTGATATCGAACAAACATTTCCAGTATACCAAATATCAAAAATAAGCAATTTTTGAATAGAATTTACTCGATAAGGGTAAAACTCGAGAAATAAATTTAAGAAAAAACACCAAATCAAAAATTCCTCAAAAATACGACCTCAATAACTCTCAATTCCAAAAATGCCCCTAAAACTCCAATTTTCCCACTAAACCCACATCACCGAGCAATCTGGTCCCTTAAAAGCCCTATTGGAGCTAATCCACCCCTAAAATCCCTTAAAATTCCCACTCCTCTCTCTTATAGTCCAAGGCTTGGCTTCACTGTCTTTAGAAATGTATATTCTCTTCAGCCAGAGAGGAGGAGGGGACAGCTTGAGAGGTAGTTTTGAAGGGGTTAGGAGGGAGTGGGAGGGGTTTTGGATGGGGATTTTGACAGAGAGGGTAGTGGGTGAAGGGGAATGGGGGTTGGGGAGGTTTGGAAGGTAATTTGGTTTAATGGAATAATAAATGTTTGATTCATGAAGTCACTACAATTATTAATTCATTCGATTTCAATGACAACACACCAACACGGGGTTTTGGGGTTTTGGGGTTTTGGGGTTTTGGGG